CCCCCCTCCGACGATTTTTGTGTCACTGGCTCCAAAAATCCAAGATGTCAACCAGGAAGTAGCAAAACCCTGGCTTCATGTTCTCAGAGCAGAAACCAACGGGTGACGTCACGGCAGCTACGTCCATCTTTTATACAGTCTATGGTTCAGCTGCTGATGCAGAAACCCCATCAACATGTTTCTAGACAACATCATGTTTAAATATATGATGTTTAAAGTATAACAGCTTTAACAATCACCTGTCAGTGATCAATAATCAGCTGTCAGTGATCAATAACCAGCTGTCAGTGATCAATAACCAGCTGAAGGTGAACCCTATGGCCTGTGGACCTCTACAGCTGGTTGATCTTCAGCTGATCTTCAGCTGCAGCTCAACACTTCTGTTAAAGTTCAAAACTCCACAAACCTTCAGTCCCAGAACTGAAGCCCAGGAAGCTGCAGCCTGAAGCTGGAAGTCATTCATCTAAACACTGAAGCTAAACGTGGAACATCTAAAACAGGAGACGACGAGGTAAACTCAGACACAGCAGCTGGAAGTCCAGGAGAAGGTTTCGTGAAGGAGCAGCAGCAGGAAAACCTGAGCAGCTGCTGGACGTCCAGAAGGTTTCGTGAAGGAGCAGCAGCAGGAGAACCGGAGCAGCTGATGGAGGTTAATGAAGCGTCTGTGATTGATATGTTTGAGGCCCAGATCCTGCTCATGGACGCCTTCATGAGTTTCCTGATGTTCTGACGTGACCGTGCAGGTTGGTGACAGACTCGTGTTAACTGGAGGAGGAAGGCCAGTCTGGATGATGGTTCTGATGAGTCAGGCCCGGTCCGTTTCCCGTCAGTCTGTGCTTTTCTTTGGCACCAGCTGCAGCTTTTATCCTGCTAATTGAATTTCCTCCATCAACACTGTGAGATGCCTGCCGGGCAGCCAGATGTCGATTTCTATAGAATGTGTGAGACAGACCCAGACTGGGACGCTGTAGCCTGTAGTGACCCGGTTCTGCTCAGAACCTGTGAGCTCCTAGCCTGTAGTGACTCGGTTCTGCTCCAGGTTCCTCCACAGTGTTCTACAATCAGCCGCGTTCAGGTCTTGTTTGAGCTGTTCACAGGTCGGACCGGTCCAGTACCATTACAACCGAACCAAAACACAGGAACACGTCTGCTACGTCCCAGTCAGCCAATCACAGGCCAGAAACACCTGGACGTCCGACCACACCTGCTCACGTTCTGGACGTTCTTCTCTCAGTTCTCAGTTCTGACCCACAATTCTTACAGCAGCAGATAATAAACGGCACCTGATTGGTTGAACGGCTCGGAGCTGCTCAGACCCGCGACTCTCAAGAATCCATCAGAACTTCGACACCATGAAGCTGCTCGCAACCGAAGCCAAGAGTAAAGTACCAGTACAAATACCTCCACTGTACTGAGGTACCGGCCTTCACCGCAGTTACTCCCACTACTTTAGTTACTCCTACTGCTTCAGTTACTCCTACTGCTTTAGTTATTGCCACTACTTTAGTTACCCCTCCTGCTTTAGTTACTCCCAACGGCCTTAGTTACTGTCACTACTTTAGTTACTCCCACTGCTTTAGTTACTTCTCCTGCTTTAGTTACTGTCACTGCTTTAGTTACTGCCACTATTTTAGTTACTCCTCCTGCTTTAGCTACTGCCACTGCTTTAGTTACTGCCACTACTTTAGTTACTCCCATTGCTTTAGTTACTCCTCCTGCTTTAGTTACTGCCACTGCTTTAGTTACTGCCACTACTTTAGTTACTCCCATTGCTTTAGTTACTCC